CACAGTCCGTTAAAGGCAAGTATACCAAATGCCTTCTGCACTATCCTATCTACCTGTGACTCCACTTTCAAGGAATTATGCACCTGCACTCTAAGGTCTCTTTGTTCAGCAACACTCCCCAGGACCTTATCATTACATGTACAAGTCCTGCCCTGATTTGCCTTTCCAAAATGCAGCACCTCACACTTATCTAAATTAAACTTCATCTGCCATTCCTCAGTCGAATGGCCCATCTGATCAAGATCCCATTGTACTCTGAGGCAACCTTCTTCGCTGTCAACTAAACCTCCAATTTTGGTGTCATCCGCAAACTTGATAACCATATCTCCCATGTTCACATCCAAATTGTTTATTTAAATGACAAAAAGCAGTGGACCCAGCACCGATCCTTGAGGCACACCACTGCTCACAAGCCTCCAGTCTGAAAAGCAGCCCTCCACCATCATCCTCTATCTTCTACCTTCAAGCTAGTTCTGTTTCCAAATAGCTGGTTCTCCCTGCATTCCATATGATCTAATCTTGCTAACCAGTCTACCGTGAAGAACCTTGGCGAACGCCTTACTGAAGTCCATTTAGATCACGTACACTGCACCACCCTCCTCAATCCTCCTCATTACTTCTTCAAAAAACACAAATCTAGTTAGTGAGAAACGATTTCCCGTACACAAAGCCAAATTGACTATCCCAAATCAGTCCTTGCTTTTCCAAATACATGCAAGTCTTGTCCCTCCGGATTCCCTCCAACAACTTGTCCACCACCAGTGTCAGGCTTACCGCCCTATAGTTCCCTGGCTTTTCCTTATCACCTTTCTTAAATAGTGGCACTATGTTAGCCAACCTCCAGTCTTCTGGCACCTCACCTGTGGCTATTGATGATACAACTATCTCAGCAAGGGGACCAGCAATGACTTCCCTGGCTTTCCATAGAGTTCTAACATATACCTAACCAGGCCCTGGAGATTTATTCGCCTTTATGCATTTTAAGATGTTCAGCATCACCGCCTCTGTAATATGGACATTTTTCAAGATGTCGGTATCTATTTCCCCACGTTCTATTACTTCCATATCCTTCTCCACAGTGAGCACTGATGCAAAATACTCGTTTAGTATTTTCCCCCATCTCCTGCGGTTCCACACGTAGGCGGCACTGTTGATCTTTAAGGGGCCCTCTTCTCTCCCTAGTTACCCTTCTGTCTTTAATGTATTTATAAAATCCCTTTGGATTCTCCTTAACCCTTTTTACCAAGGCTATCTCAAGTTCCCTTTTTTTTCCCCTCCTGATTTCCCCCTTAAGATACTCCTACTGCCTTTGTCCTCTTCTAAGGATTCACTCAATCTCTGCTGTCTATACCTGACATGTGCTTCCTTCTTATTCTTGACCAAAACCTCAATTTCTCTAGTCATCCAACATTTCCTACACCTACCAGCCTTGCCCTTCACTCTAACAGGAACATACTATCCCTGGACTCTGGTTATCTCATTTTTGAAGACTTCCCATCTTCCAACCATCTCTTTACCTGCAAACATCCGCCCCCAATCAACTTTTGAAAGCTCTTGCCTATTACCATCAAAATTGGCCTTCTTCCAATTAAGAACTTTAACTTTTAGATCCAGTTTATCCCATTCCATCACCATTTTAAAACAAATAGAATTATGGTTGCTGGTTCCAAAGTGCTCCCCCACTGACACTTCAGCTACCTGCCCTGCCTTATTTTCCAAGAGTAGGTAAGTTTTGTACCTCTCTAGTAGGAACATCCACATACTGAATCAGAAATTTTTCTTGTACACGCTTAACAAATACCTATCTATCCAAGCCTTTAACACTTTGGTAGTCCCAGACTATGTTTGGAAAGTTAAAATCCCTGACTGTAACCACCTTATTATTCTTACAGATAATTGAAATCTTTGTACAAATTTGTTTTTCAATTTCCTGCTGACCATTGAGGGGTCTATAGCACAATCCCAATCAGGTGATCATCCCTTTATTTCTCAGTTCCACCCAAATAACGTTCCTGAACGTATTCCCAGGAATATCCTTTCTAAGTACAGCCATAATGTTACCCCGAATCAAAAACACCTCTCCTCCCTTTCTATCCTTCCTATAGTATCTATACCCTAGAATATTAAGCTGCCAGTCTTGTCCATCCCTGAGCCACGTCTCTGTAATTGCTGTGATATCCCAGTCCCATGTTCCCAATCATGAGTTCATCTACATTACCTGTTAGGCCTCTTGCATTGAAATAATTGCAATTTAATTTATCAGTCCTACCTCATTCTCTGTTTTGTTCCTGCCTACCCTGACTGTTAGTTTGATTTGCTCCTTTCCCCAACTGTACCAGTCTCAGACTGATCTCTTTCCTCACTGTCTCCCTGGGCTCTCCCCCAGCCCACCCCCGTATTACTAGTTTGGATCCTCCCGGGTAACTCTAGCAAATCTCCCCGCTGATATATTAGTCCCCTTCCAATTCAGGTGCAATCCATCCTTCTTGTACTGTCACGCCTACCCTAGGAGAGATTCCAATGATCCAAAAAATGTGAATCCTTCTCCTCTGCACCAGCTCCTCAGCCATGCATTCATCTGCGCCATCCTCCTATTCCTACCCTCACTAACTCATGGCACCGGGAGTAATCCAGATATTACCACCCTCTAGTACCTCCTTTTTAAATTCCTGCCTAACTTCCTATATTCTTGCCTCAGAATCTCATCCTTTTCTCTTCCTATGCTATTAGTTCCGACCTCCTACTGGTCCCTCTCCCCTTTGAAAATATTCTGCATCTTCTCCAAGATGTCCTTGATCCTGGCACCAGGGAGGTAACGCACCATTCTGATTTCTTATTGTCGGTTGCAGAAACGTCTATTTGCGCCTCTGACAAGTAAGCCCCCTATTGCAGTCGATCGCTTGGAACCTGATGTACCCCTCATTACATTAGAGCCAGTCTTGGTACCAGAAGCCTGGCTGTCCGTGCTTTATTCCTCAGAGTCCATCCCCTACATTTTCCCAAACAGCATACTTGTTTGTGTTGGGGATTTGCACAGGAGACTCATGCACTACCTACTCCTACCTTTCCTGGTAGTAACACATCTACCTTACTGTACCTGTTTTTTTTTTACTCCTTTCCTACAGCTACCATCGATCACATTCCCTAGAGCCTGTAAATTCCTGATTGCCTGTAACTGCTGCTCCAACCGATCCATGCGAGCTGATAGGATTCTCATTCAAACACACTTCCTGCACACACAATCATCAGTAACATGGAAATTCACCCTCACCTGCCACATCTGACAGGAAGAGCCATTTTTGCACCTTAGCTATCTACAAATGCAGAAAATAGCTCAATCTTACTGCTGTAAAAGCACTGCTTCAGGCTAGCTTCGTACCTATAGTTTTATATTTTTAAAGTTTAATCAAGAGATACATCTCAATAACAATATATAATTTTAAAAAAACCCATTCTACTCACTACTGTAGATTTACCAAGGGAAAACGGGAAGGTTACACTTTAAAACGCCACTTAGCTGCTCCCTTGCTGTGAGCTCGCCACTCGGGTTTCTTCAAGGTCAGCTGTGAATTTCACTGTGTTAATTTTTCTTAGTTGAACTCCCGATGTCCAGAGATGCTTGAAATCAAACAGCAGAGGTAGTAGCTGTGCAGATTCAGTGCTGAGTCACACAGCACTGTAAGTTTCTTTCTCTGTTTGAATCTCTTCCCATGTGGTCACTGCCTTTGTCTGTCTTCCTGTTTTTTTAAAATGCTGTTGTTTTGATCCTTTTTCCCCAAAGTTCCAAAACAATGCAACAGCTTATATAACAGTAATTACTGCTCCTAGAATTCAAGGAAATCAGCTCCAACACTGAAAATACCTCAGAAAAAGGAGCAGCTCTTACAGCCACAACTTTTTCCTGTCTTCCCATCAAAAAAGCTAGATTCCCCATAAATTTGCTTTTTGGCATTTTAATTATAAGGGAGAACAGAATTGCATAGTCATTCAACTGCTGTTTACTGCTGCAATTGGAGTATAAAACAGAAATGAGATGAGGTATAGACTTGAGGTGACTTCACGCATCAAATCTTGGATGTAAGTGGGTGCCTTTGAACTCTTTCAGCCATGTAGACAGCATGAGGTGTTGTGCAGATATTAATGATATGCCATAGGAAGGCAGAAATTGGTCTGTGCAATACACATGGGTGGTCACATTTTTTAGTTTTAAAATTTTGGTTGCATTTATACAGTGAGTCTGGAAAAGTACTGGGAGCTAGCCATTCTGCCTCAATCTCAATCCCACCATAAATCAAAATGATTTAGATGTTAATAATGAAAAATAAGTTTAAAATAAATATGTTCATACTGAACGTAGTTTATCTATAAAAACTGAGAGGAAGGGTCACCAGACCTGAAATGTTAATTCTGATTTCCCTTCACAAATGCTGCCAGATCTGCTGAGCTTTTCCAGCAACTTGTGTTCTTGTTATAGTTTATATATACTTCTCTCCTTATAAAAACAAATGGGCACTTTATCTCCTTGTTAGTAGTTATCTGCTTGGCTCAATTGTAGTATTCTTCCCTCAGAAGGTTGAGAGTTTAAATGTCTCTGCAGGACATGTATACAAAGTCTAAGCTCATTCTGCTAGGTATACCAGAGAAATGCAGCATTATGCAGTGCACTCCCCTTATGAAGAAGATCTGCCTGCTTTTGAACTTGTAACATCCAATACCAAAGCTCAAAGGCAAGCTGGGAATTCTCCTGATATCCTGACTAAAATTTTTCCCTTGGTCAACACATCACCAAAATCAGATTTGCTCCTTATGGGGCTTTGCTGTGTTCAAAATGACTGTTGTTTTTCTACATAGTGGTGATTACACTTGTAATATTCTGAAGGTATGATCAGGCACTGTGTAAATGGATGTTTGGTCACTTCTAAGGTGCATGTTGTACCGTCAGACAGGTTTTTGTATCAGTTGAGGGATGACTATGTTAATTCCTTCTTGTTCTGTTTCAGGTTTCAAAGGGGGTGAATGGTGATGCCCAAACTCTATCGTTAGGCGCAACTGCATCTAGTGCCAAAAAGAATAGGGAGGTCAGACCATCACCAGCCAAACCTGTGAAGTACACTGCAACGGTGACAAAAGGAAATGTTACATACACCAAAGCCAAGAAAGAACCGGTTAAGGAAACCAAACTGAACCATGTCAATTCCAGTGTAGCTGTTAACCATACAATCTCAGGGAAAACTGAAAGCAGCAATGCAAAATCAAGAAAACAGGTGCTATCCAATGGAACGTCCCATTCAAATGGTGCTGCCCTTAGCTGTGTTAAATTAAATGGAAAGATGAATGGGAAAACATCAGCGAAAGTTGAAGTCAGAGAATTTAAAGAAGGACTGCGGACCTCCAAGAGGAGGCATGAGGAGGTCAACCATATAGTGAAACCACAGTCACCTTCAAAAAGAGTGAAAGCTAACACATGTACAGCAGGAGCTAAAGACAATAAAGCAAATACAAAAGAAAAAACTTTACCTAATGGACGAATAAAGTATGAAACACCAGTGAAAAACAGTGAAAGACAGAGGCTTAGGAAGGCATCCTTAGGTAAGAACACCCCAAACAAACAAGCACAGAGCAAATTGGAAAGTGCCTCCAGTGAAAATAGTTCTACCTCAGCTACAGAGTCCTCGCACAAGCCACAAGACTCTTCAGTAAAACAGGAGAAAGGCACCAAGGTTGGCATGGCACTGGTTGGAGAAATTCCCATTCTCAGGCCTACCCAGAAGGAGTTTCATGACCCATTAGTTTATGTGGAATCTGTCCGACCTCAGACGGAGAAGTATGGCATGTGCCGGGTGATCCCTCCCACTGACTGGAGACCCGAGTGCAAATTGAATGATGAAATGCGGTTTGTGACTCAGATTCAGCACGTGCATAAACTGGGTAGACGCTGGGGACCCAATGTACAACGACTAGCTTGTATCAAGAAACATCTTAGATCTCAGGGCATTACTATAGATGAGCCCCCACTCATAGGTAAGCCATCTATTACTATGCATTATCCACATCACAACACTTTATATGTTAAAATCATTTCTTGTAAATGAGCAAGATTATCAGCTTCAATTTTGTTTGTAATTATTGCAGAATTGTAGGTGTTTGTCATTTTAACTGCAAAACTAAAGTAACTTCTGTTCTCTACATGTGCTGATAAAGAAATCCAGAAGTTTGTTTTGGTGATTCCTAATGTGCCACAGGATGTATCAATGACATCCCCATAGACCGCAATCTTTAATAACTAATGAACTGTTGTGACCATTGTTTAAGCCCCCCTGAAAATGTCACATATTTTAATGTTAATGTTTTTTTAACAATGTAGAAAAACCTATAGTTGTCTCTAACCAATCTCTGTAGATCTGGTGACCAGTTTTATATTTGGGCAATGTCAACTTTCTTATGATAATTCCATTTTTAATTTTACTTTTTAACGATATTGCAGGTTCTATGGTTTATGATGCAATTTTTATTATATTTTGTTTAAAATTTATGCAGTACAAAGAATAATCAGTGCATTTACTTCATTTGCTTTTTGAGAGATTTTTTTTGATGTGATTGGCTGCATTTCCTGCTTGATGATATCACTGTTGGATGCCTGGAATTGCCTTTGACTCGGCACTAGATTCAATTTAATGTCATGAACTGGGAAATCTCCAGCTAGAGATTGCTAGATCCTTGTGGGCAACTTTTTTCGAGGTTAGCATCAACAACTGTAGCTTCACTGCTGACTGCAAAATTATAAAGCAGTTTGAGTATATTGAGATTCATTTTGTGTTGTTCCTTGGTCCAGTTATATTTTGTCAAAGCTACATTTCTAAACTGATGTGAAGTGGTGTAGAAAAATACAACAGAATAACTTCAGATATTGGGGCAGATTTGCAGAATACGTAGATATGCCACTCAAAAGAATTCCAACTTCGCGCTCTCGTTTGGCGTTTGAAAGGAGCACTGAATGTTTGGCTTTCATCCCTCCAGATCAAGCACAAAATTTTCATGTATTTAAGAAAGTTCTGTTTAATGATTCAGTGGCAATGTGACTGTTAGACACTTATTTCTGGCCACCCGTATGTAACGTTTTGGATTATGTTGCCTGATTTTGATTTTAACAACATTTCTGCAAGGTTCAATCCATTCTTTCCATTTTCATTTTCTTAACAGCCCAGCAGCAAGAGAATTAAACTGTCTCTCTTGCGCTGTCACGCACTCTCTGTCTCACTATCTCTGGCGCTGTTGTGCGCTCTCTTGCTCACGTGCACGGCTGCTCTCTGCCTTGTTGCTCCTATGCGCTCTGCCTCGCTTTCTCTCTATTGTGCACCCTTCCTTCCACTCTGGCCCTGTCCATTGTGTCTCTGTATCCATTGAAGTTTAGACGAATGAGAAATGTTATTTTTCAAAACTACAAATACCCTGAGGCACTTGACAGGGTAGTTACAGAATGGATATTTCCCCTTGTAGGAAAGATTAGGACTGGGGGCACAGCTATAAATAAGAGGACTTTTATCTAATATGGAGAAGAGAATTCTTTTTCTATAAGAGGGTTGTTAATATGTGGAATTTTCTTCCTCAAAGTGCATTGAGGGATGAATGATTTGAATATTTTTGTCTGATTGAGTCAAAATTTATTAGGGATAGACTAAAACTAGAGTTGAGTCCACAATGGGATTAACAATGTTCTAAATGAATGGTGCTGCATGGCCTACATCTTCTGCTAATTTGTATTTTTGGTGCCTTTCAACAAAAATGTAACACTGTACCAAAGGATTAAATTGTAGCCAAATACCATATCTCAGAGTGTTTGAAAGATTATTTTTACAGCTTCTGCTATTGACTCTCTAACTTTGAGAATTTGTAAAACAAATGCTGTTGGGGCCTGTTGGCTGTTCTAGCAGTAGCTATTTCCTTATTTATAGTTATCCAATCTGATCTTTTGTATTGCTTCATTCCAGCTAGCATGTTGTGTGATGAAAACACTGTCAGACAGCTAATATTATCTATAATATCTTTCCACACATCTTCATAAAATTTCTCTTTTCTCCCCTAAGTGGTACTGCCTCTCCTTGAACAGTTATTTTATCGTTCTGTTACAGTTTTGTTCATACTTTTATATTGCTTAATGGTTCTGATTGGGTTAAAGTTCATATTGCATTGGCTCAGCCCATCCTATTGTCACTGTAGGTGGAGAAGAGTTCTACTCTTGCTTTTAAAGGGAACAGATATATCTATACCAGCTCTCTAATGTCCCCATAATTATCAATGATCAAATGTAATTGTACATTAAATGTACAAGGCTGTGTACAAAGTGTAATTGTACATGAAATGTAAATGGTAGAATACTCTCGACAACTAATCACTAGCTAGACACAAAACAAGAAAAGAGGATAGATGGCAGACCTTACCCAGAACCACTTAGTTGGAGAGGTTGCAAAGGCATCAGGAGTGCTTATCAGCAAATAACACACCTGTCCTCATCTTAATTTTTACTTTAATTCACTCTGCTTTTTCAATATTCGACTTGATTTACGAACAATTTATAACTTGGTTTACAGGAACCAGACTGATTCCTGAGATTGGCAGGATTTATGGTATGAAGACAGACTGGATTGCTTGGGACAATATTTATTGGAATGTAGAAGGGTGAGAGTGTTGTCTCATAGGAACCTCTGAAATTCTAATGGAATAGATAGGTAAAGACGGGAAGATGTTCCGGGGAACATGGCCCCTTATGACTGACTGGGAGTCCAAAACTAAAAATCATTATTTAAGGTAACAGGATAAATCACCATTTAGGGCTGAGATGAGGAGACCCAGACAGTGGTGAGCCTATGGAATTCTCTGACACAGAAAGTGATTGAGGCCAAAACACTATATCTTTCCCCAAGGAGTTGGATATACTTCTTAGGGCTACAGGGATCAAGGGGTATGGGGAGAAAGCAGGAAAAGGGTATCGAGTTGGATGATCAGCCATGATCATATTAAATGGTGGAACAGTGTCAGAGGCTGAATGGCCTACCCCTCCTATTTTCTATGTTTCTATCATTTGAGCCCTCGCTTTACCATTTGACTCTTCAATAGTATTTTTAATTTCCCTACTTTCCAAAGAATTGTAGTTTATATTCCATCACCTTTGGGAAAACTATCTGTTCTGTGCTCTAATCATCTATTTGAATATTAGACCTAATGTCGCCTTGTCCAATGTACCAGTCATTTTTCTTTTACAGTTTGTAGGTTTCTTTTCTTGCTGAAACTAGTTTATTTTTCAGTCAATTGCCAAATATTTGCATGTTTTCTCCTTTATATTTTGTCCTCGAACTAAAATTTGATTCTGTTGGTTTTTATGTTTCCCTGCCCTTATGTCAGGTGTTTGTCCCACTTCATTTTCAGACTAAATTCAACATTGCTTCTTCACAAAATACTGTATAATTGCACATTTTAATATTTTTCTCAGTCCCATTGCTGCCTTCACAATCCAAGATTCTAAAGGTCTTCAGGTCTAAATACCTATACTGTTTTGAAATGGACTGTGACAAAATATGGAATTTATATCCACCGTTCTCCAGGCGAAGTAAGTTTTCACTGTTCAGGATCTCTGGCACAAATGAAGATTCTGATTGTGGGGATTCATAGATATAGACATATGCTGACATGTCACTTCTGTGTGATTGCATCAAAACATGTTGTATGAGCTAATGTGTTAATGTTGGAGACTGCAATAAGCTCTACCCAGTGCGATGATGATATGAGAGTATGAATGGGGAAAAGAGGAGTCTATCTCAAAATTGCTATGGGGACAGGCATATTATCTCTGGGGGGGAAACAAAAAACAGAAATTGCTGGAAAAGCTCAGCAGGTCTAGAAGCATCTATGAAGAAAAATCAGAGTTAACATTTCAGATCCGATGACCCTTCCCAGATTGGTTATCCCTGGTTCCTGTCTGTCTAACTAGGTAATGAAAGTTACATTTATTGTTATCATAGAATAAACTGCATATTGTTTTAAGACATGCTGCTTCTTGTTAAGACTCATTAATGGTTCATCCCCTACCACTGGTAATGAAAGAGGTTTTTAGAACCGGTATCGAAAAGAGGGCTGGTGGCAGTGCTGCATCCCAACCATTAGATGTTAGTGATTGGTTTTTCAGTACATACAGCATACATCTTTTAATTTCAGTTTTGAAAATTTCTTTTAGCGTAATCAAAGCCTGGAAGCTACCATGATGTTAATCATCTGAGCTTCATGTTTTTTTTAATTTGCTAGTGGGATGGGCATCTATGGCTAGGCCAGCATTTATTGACCATCCCTAATTGCCAGAGGGCAGTTGAGAGTTAACCACATAGCTGTGGGTCCGGAATCACACGTAGGCCAGACCAGGCAAGGATGACAGATTTCCTTCCCTAAGGGACATTAGTGAACCAAATGGTTTTTCCTGACAATCAGCAATGGTTTCATGGTCTTCATTAGATCCTTATTTCCAGATCCTTAATTGAATTCAGACTCCACACCTGCCATGCCAGGATTTGAACCCAGTCCCCAGGACATTAGCTATATTTCTGGATTAATAGTCCAACGATAATACCACTAGGCCATTGCTCCTCTATAAAGAATGTGCATGTAAAACTGGATATTGGTCCTGGTCCCACTGCTCAGCGGTAAATGATTTAAAACTTCTGGCTTCATGTACATGTTTGGGTATTGGATTTGCACAGAGTTTCCGCATGTACGTTGAGACTCCCAGCTTTACCTCATCACTTTTTTTCGAATCATCCATCCTCTTAAAATTAGCTCACTATTATCTCAATTTATCAAATTGAATTTAAAAAAATACTGAGAACAGTATTAAATGTAAATTAAGGATAACCGCCAATTTAATGAAACAAAACAATTGGAGTTTATTTTTGAAGAATGCACCCAAATAAGTAGAATATAGCTTTGTTGACCTATATGAGTGAGAGTGCAGTTTGATTGAAGGTCCTCCTGGCAAA